CAGCCTTACAGTCGATCGTGGTCGTCCACCGAACCTACCCTCACCGGCGAACCGGCGACCAGTCCCAACGGCGACCCCACGACGACCACAGCTCCACCGCTTCAGCCTCTACGCTTCGTGAACTCCACCGCGACGACCACCATCAGTTGAGCATAGATCACGAACCAGGTTGGTCTTCAAACATCTGAAATTAAGAAGTTTGTAATTTCTGAAAAAATATGGGGCTTTTCAGATTTGGGATTTCTGAAAAAATTTAGGGCTTTTCAGATTTGGAATTTCAAAATTAGGGCTTTGATTTTGGAGTTTGAAACGTCTGAAAAAATTTAGGGGTTTTAGATTTGGAATTTCAAAATTAGGGCTTTGATTTTGGAGTTTGAAACGTCTGAAAAAATTTAGGGGTTTTAGATTTGGAATTTCAAAATTAGGGCTTTGATTTTGGAGTTTGAAACGTCTGAAAAAATTTAGGGGTTTTAGATTTGGAATTTCAAAATTAGGGCTTTGATTTTGGAGTTTGAAACGTCTGAAAAAATTTAGGGGTTTTAGATTTGGAATTTCAAAATTAGGGCTTTGATTTTGGAGTTTGAAACGTCTGAAAAAATTTAGGGGTTTTAGATTTGGAATTTCAAAATTAGGGCTTTGATTTTGGAGTTTGAAACGTCTGAAAAAATTTAGGGGTTTTAGATTTGGAATTTCAAAATTAGGGCTTTGATTTTGGAGTTTGAAACGTCTGAAAAAATTTAGGGGTTTTAGATTTGGAATTTCAAAATTAGGGCTTTGATTTTGGAGTTTGAAACGTCTGAAAAAATTTAGGGGTTTTAGATTTGGAATTTCAAAATTAGGGCTTTGATTTTGGAGTTTGAAACGTCTGAAAAAATTTAGGGGTTTTAGATTTGGAATTTCAAAATTAGGGCTTTGATTTTGGAGTTTGAAACGTCTGAAAAAATTTAGGGGTTTTAGATTTGGAATTTCAAAATTAGGGCTTTGATTTTGGAGTTTGAAACGTCTGAAAAAATTTAGGGGTTTTAGATTTGGAATTTCAAAATTAGGGCTTTGATTTTGGAGTTTGAAACGTCTGAAAAAATTTAGGGGTTTTAGATTTGGAATTTCAAAATTAGGGCTTTGATTTTGGAGTTTGAAACGTCTGAAAAAATTTAGGGGTTTTAGATTTGGAATTTCAAAATTAGGGCTTTGATTTTGGAGTTTGAAACGTCTGAAAAAATTTAGGGGTTTTAGATTTGGAATTTCAAAATTAGGGCTTTGATTTGGGTTTCCTCTTCTTCTTCTTCTTCTTCTTTTTTTTTTTTTTCCATCTCTGTCCATATGTTAGTACTTCTGTAATTTACTGCCTTAAATTGCCTAAATACAAGCCATTAAGAAGGCATTAACATGAATATCAGTACCTGTAGCTGTAGGATAAATAAATTGTAATGGCTTCTGCTAATAAATCAATTTTAACAGGTTTAATGGCTTGAAACCAAATGTTGGCTAACACATTGATTTTAGTTCATTTAATATTTAGTCTCATTTTTATCAATAATTTATTAGTTATATAGATAGAAAAATGATATCATTATATGTTTTATATGTAAATGCATATTTTACATTGTTTATTTTTGTATTTTCACTGCACTTGTTTCAATTTGTTTATCATTACTAAAATTGAGGTTAGTGTAATTATGTGAAAATAGTGAATCTTATTGTATTTTTGCAATTAGGATACTGAATTGAGTGTATATTTCTGGAAATATACTCGAGGGGAATTTACTTATCAATATGTACGCATGTACTGAAGGGAAATTTCTAGCAACAGCTTTATGATGTACAAGTTAGTGACAGACGTTGTGGCAGGATACTGAAAGAATTGAACCCATGGTTTTATGTTTATGAGAGTAGAGCAAAAATTAGGAGTTGTTCGATTGTTAACTATAAGCTTACTTTTTACTTTAACAAAGCAGGGTCGTGGTGTTCGCATACAAGGTGATGAGTTTTGGCATATGACTAAAGTTCTAAGGTTGAGCGCAAGAGATAGGTACTTTTTAATTTAATTACAGAAGTTCTGAGTTTAGTGTACTTTGTATTCACCTAGCATTGTATGCTTGTATGGAATATTGCATGAAGTTTTTAACATCAAAACATGTTTACAAGCTATTGAAGTATAGTTATTGATTGCTAAATCACTAAACATATGTAACTGCATAATGGGGTTGGACTATATTGAAACACAAGTGTTGACGCTCAAGTGTTTTACTTAAAATAGATAATGGATTTTAAAATAGATAATGGATTTCATTCAGGTAAACAAGCCTTACTTCCAACTTCTTGGGTTTGGTGATCTGATGCGACTAAGTTATTTTTTTGTCCACCTACATGGCCTTATTTCTTTTTGGGCTTTCAGCCTTTTATGTGAAAGATAAGACTAGGTGTAACATAGGATGGATTTCTAAACTTAAAATAAATGAATTTATAGAGGTTTGTTTTGCACCAATAGGGAAGAGTGATGTTGCCACATTTTGAGTAATGTAGGCGAAAAGGAAGAACAATGTTAACTTGGGCTGGGATAGTAAGGAAAGACATGATAACATGTTCAATTAAAATTATGGCTTGGATTGGAATGGGAAAACAATATTAATGTTGCCAACCCAGAAGATAAATGTACAAAATGAACTTGGCTACCTAGGATAACCTATAATCCAATCTCATTACATTTTTAAAACAGATGAAAGGATTAATGAAAAATGACGCAAATAAATTTGTCCTATGAAGAACTATTGTGTCCTTTTAATTGAACAGTGAAAAAGAGCTTATCCTCCATGTCAACAAGTATTCCAAAGAACCTCCATTACAATATTCTCCCCATCTGGCCATGTAGTCAAGTATTCACTACATGTATTCCAAAGAACCTCCATACTACTACTACTACTACTACTTTCCTGTTCAGTGAAGCTCAGAGACTTACCAAGAGAGCACATATGAGAGCTAAGACAACACACCCAACGTAAATAGCTGTTGCATAAATACGAACAGGGTCAAGCATCATTCTCATTTGTTGCCCAGAATTGTAGCATTGTTTTCCTGAATTCAGTGCAACTAAACACTTTGACACCTAATCAATTTGTATGTAGAACTACAATGCTGAATAACACATAGGATAGGTTTTTATGAGCCCACTACAATGTTGGTTTCAAAACTAAATTGGTTTCTCGAGGGCTGACTGTTTGTGTTGTATTGTGTATGTAGATTTAGAAATGGCTTCTTCTTCTAATGACAACAGTAACATAAGATTAAAATCGAGAATGTGTAATTTTGGAAGAACAGCTGCCATACATATCGTAAAAACAAATGAGAATGGAAATAAAGGGCGTTTGTTCTTTGTTTGCCCATCAAAATATGTAAGTATTGTATTGGAAATATTAAATATGTAAGTAGTCACAATTTAATTTGTTTTAATAGACTAACTAATTGTTGGTTGCATTGTAGACTGAAAATCCCAATTGCAATTACTTCAAGTTCGTGGCTGAAGATGATGAAGATGTGACGTCCACAATCCGTTCCAACACTAGAGCTTCTGATGGTGTTACAGTAGAAGACTTTAACGAGCTGAGGAGGAGGCTGTATGACGTGGAAAATGAACATGGCGACTATGGTCGAAGGCTTCGAATGGTGGAAAATATTTTGAAGGCGATGGTGTATTTGATTGTATTTGCTTTACTTTTGTACTTTATGATGTAATGTTATTATGGATTTATGGATTTAAAGTTATTATGGATTTATGGATGTAATCTACTTTATGATGTAATGTTAGTATCCGAAAAATTTGACTAATGTTATTATGGATTTATGATGTTTGTACTTTATGATGTTTTTATGAATGGAATTTGGGAAGTTGGGAATGATTTGAGATGGTTTTTATATGGTTTATTGTCCTAGTGGATTTAATGAACTTGGGAATGAGTTGGATTTTATGAACTTGGGAATGTTTTCATTTACAGGACAATCTGTGACATGGTTTTTTGTAGGCTTAAAATGCATGTATGTTGGTTGTGAAATCTGCTACTGTTTATTTTGCATAGGCACAATTGACATGTTCTTTTGCATATGAACCAACAGAATGCAGAACCATGTTCTTTTGCCTATGAACCATGTTCACTTGCCTATGAAGTCTGGCTTGTTAAAACTATTTGTTCACTTGCCTATGAAATCTGCCTATGAAATCAGAACCATGTTCACTTGCCTATGAAATCTGGCTTGTTCTTTTGTTGGATCTAATTAGTAAACTTTACTGGTACTGTTTGTTCATGTAACCTGGCTTGTTAAAACTGTGAAGTTAGTGCAGTCCATTGGCAAAATCCAGGGCAGCAATGAAGTATGCAAAAAGCATTTTGTGCCCAGCAATTTTTGTTAGTGAACTGGTGGTCATGTACTAAAAAAATAAGGTAGGAACAGCAATGAAGTATGCAAAAAGCATGAAGATTTATCAGATTGAAGGGGTAACAGTGTTCAAGGGTTATCAGATTGAAGGGGTAACAGTGTTCAAGTGTTCAAGGGTAAGCATGAGAGTAGAAGACCAGAAGAGTATTTGTGCCCATTTCAGAATCTGTATAACAGTGTTCAAGGGTCCTAAATGAACATCAACCAACATCAACCAAGTTAAATTAACATGTTCAATACAGCATGTTCAATACCAGTTTCCTGAATCTGAACATGAACATGAAGCAACCAACACATAAATTAAAAAAAAATGCTGAATAACAGAATCAGTACAACTTTAACAATAACCAACATCAACCAACATCAACCAAGGTAAATGAACATTAACAATAACCATTTCACTTGGGTTTAACATATAAATTAAAATCAACTGTAAATGAACATCAACCAGTACAACTTTAACATCTAAATTAATTCATTGGTCCTTAAAAATTGACACATTAGTACTTTAACATCACTTTCCAGCAACAGTTTGCTTGACAGTTTCAGAGGCCATGACTTCACGTTGCAGCCCAATTTCAGCATCAGTTTGGTTCTGTTCATGGTTGTCCATAGCCTACAAAAAAGAAGACAGAATTTTTAAGCAACTATAAATACGTGATATCACAGAATTTTCAGCAACTATAAACAAAAAATACATCAACGACGAACCTGACTACACATTGGAGTAGTTGATTCTTGAGAATATCGAAACCCAATGTCATATCCACATGAACCTTGTAGTAGTGACTGGAATGTTGGTTGAGTTGGCAAATAATTTGGCACGACATACATCTCCCGCAAATTGTTCGCCTACAAGAATGTCATATATGCTTTCAGTTATGGTTTTAGTCACATATTATATCCACACAAAAAATACAATGTTAAAGTAAATCTTACATGATATGTGGGATACATCAATGGCGGAGGAATGTAATTACTACCCATGGGCAAAGATCGAGGAAGAGGATGAAGGGGAGGAAGAGGTTGAAGCGGAGGAACATGTTCACGAACATATATATCTCCTCCAATAGATAATGGAGAAGGTGCAACCGTTGAACTAGCAATAGATTGTGACGAAGCGAAGCTATTAGCACGGGATTTTTTTTTGGAGTTCGCTACCAACGCCGCTTCGAATCCACCTTTGACCCTCCTTTTGCCCTTACTAGTTGCCACCTTTTTCTTCAATCCTTTTGGTTGCACAACATGATTCACATCTTCGCATTCCACTTCAAAGCTTTGGGTATCATCATCATTACGTGCTTCATTTCCAACACCAAAATGAGCACTTAACTTGCCTTCAACATCTGCACCTAATGTAGCAAGCTGTGCAATACAAAAAGCATATGTTTCTTCAGTTTCAGCAGCTCTACTTGCTACTGCTCTAAATGCAGTCATCAATGTCTTATACCGCGAAGCTTGTTGGAATTTCATATCTACTTGAATGTCATTTTCGTTAATATGCTGCACAGTTTCGGCTCTTGCTTGTTTGGTCCACCTCTTCAGAATGTATTGTGGAGGAACCTCTTTCATCTTCAATATGTCTCTAATGACCTTCAATGAGTGAGAACACAAGATTCCTTCCCTTTCAAACTTTGTACAATTACAACCCAAAGAGCCATCCCTCTCCAACTTCACTTTCCTTGCATGTTTGTTACCAACATCAACAACTGTGTAAATGGTACTAGCTTCGCCATATTCAATTGCTTCTATGTCTGATTCAATGGATTGAAAGTACTCATTTTGAAATTCCTCAAAGATCTTTTTTGTGTAGATGTTACCCATTTGAATTAACATTTTTATTGTTGCTTTCACCTTTGGTAACCTTTGGCACAAAGCATATCCCGCTTCTAACTCCTTGTATCGCTTCTCATAAAGTACCCTTTCGAAATGCATGAAGAATTCATTTAAGTTGAAATCCGAACGAATGTAATCTTTCAAAAAAGCATTAAAAGATTCACTAAGTTGTGTGGTACTCATTCCCGCAGCCCATGTTGATCTAACATAAGGCCATCCCCATTTTTCTTTCACCGCAAAAGTCAATTTCAACCAATGGTTTTCATGCGCATCATATTTATCAAGCATTTCCGCCCACTCTAATTTCCATTGATTTGCATCTTCAATGTGAAAGAAGAATTTATTTAGTACACCCTTGACCCCCTTATCTTGGAACAAACAGTTAACATGTTTTAATGCATTTTGCATCAAATGCCAAGTACACAATCGGTGACTTGTGTCAGGCATAACGATGGGTATGGCTTTAGCCATTGCAGCATCTTGATCGGTGAACAAAGTTTTCGGTGCCTTCCTTGACATAGCCTATAGAAAGTTTTCAAACAACCATACAAACGATTCGGCGGTCTCATCATACAACAATGCTGCACCAAATATAACTGTTTCCCTGTGATGGTTGAATCCCACAAAAGATGCGAAGGGTCTATGTTCTTTGTTTAACTTGTAAGTCGCATCAAATGTGACAACATCACCAAATTGGGCATAATCCATGATCATTTGTGCATCGGCCCAAAACATATTGGTTATTTGCTCCTCATTATCTAATTGAACAGCATAGAAGAATGAAGGATTCTGCAAAGATTTTTCTTTAAAGTATTGCAAGACATTGCCTACTTCCCCATATGCTAAACTTTGTTGTCTTTTGGTTCTCAAATAATTTTTAGAATCTAACTTCGTAAAACCAAGACATTGCCTTCCACCAGCTTCCCTACCCATGAGTTCAAAAGACTGGCCTAAACGAAGACCAGATTGTGCCGCTAAATCTAATTGAATTGCTTGGGTAGTGGAGATCTTTCTTTGTGATGGCAACATGTGGGCACACTCAGGTGATACAAGATCGTGGTTGTGTTTTTCTTTGAAATCAGTCACAACATATTTTCCAGTACCCTCATGTAATTTAATATAAAGTCGAGCCTCACACCCAGTCCTAGTTTCAGCTCTAGAGTTTTTTGACAATGGGTCTCGCTTGTCAACCTTTCGAAATCCCTCATTGTTGCAAACCAAAAGTCTATGAATAAGTTGATTACTAAACTTGTCCTTCTTACAATAATCTCTTCTTATGCTAAACCCCATTCTTCCTCCATATGTATTATAAAATTCATACGCACATTGTTCAGAATCAAATACCATTCCCAATTTTGGCTTCCAATCACAGTCATTCTCAGGTTCCATATCGATATCAAAATGCAACTGAAAACCCATATAAATAAAATCTTAAGTTAATGATAGTTGAGCTTCTTAATAAGATTTTTGGGTTGCTTAGGTTGTAATGCTATGAAAATGAATTGAAATTGGTTTATAATTAACATTTATCTGGTTTATAGATAGGACCATATGTCATATAAGGAAAATTACTCCAATTAAGCAAATTGAATTATTCATAACTGGCTTATCTGGTTTATTCATAAGGAATTATTCATAACGAATTAAGGAAATTTATCTGGTTTATCTGGTTTATAGATAGGACCATATGTCATATAAGGAAAATTACTGAATATAGATATAAATAGCAGTTAATAACACAAGCATTTCAGTTATTCATAACTAGCAGTCTCATGGGTCAAAAATTATTCATGAGATTCAATATAACATGTTCATGTTCTGAAATTAAAGGTTCATGTTTTAAGGTTCATGTTCTGGCCTATCAATTTTAACAAAAGCTGGCCTATCAATTTTAAGGTTCATGTTCTGAAATTGATAGACCAGTCTATCAATTTTAAGGTTCATGGTCTATCAATACGAGTTTATGTAAGGTTCCGAACTCAGTTTACAGACTTAAGTTAATGTTGAGCAATTGTTTATCTTATTGTTGAGCAATTGTTTACAGACCTGGCTCAGATGAGCCATTGGTCATCCAATTGTTTACAGACCTTCCTTGAGTAATTTACAGTGTGTTCACCAAATAGCAGAACCTTACAGAAAAGTAAAAGAAATCATAAAGAGAGGTAAAACACACCAATTAATGCAAACTCTCATTCGATTTCTTACCTTACTGTTCACTGTAATTTGTAAAGAGCTTCAGTCGAAAGCTTTGGCTGCAGAAGAGTACTCTGTACAGGCTGGAGCGGTGGAGTTCGACGTCGGTGAGGATGGAGTTCGCCGTCGGTGAGGATGGGTTCGCCGGTGAGGATGAGGATGGGTTCGACAGAGGCTGTGTTGCTGCGTGAGAGTGAGAGTGGTGTGTGAGAGTTGATCCGAATCCCTCATCTGAGCTGTGTTGTTGTTTGTTTGGGCGGACCATTGTTTTTGTAATTTGAAAAATGCCATTAAAAAATCATTTTAAATGTTATTTCTATATAAATTTTATATTTGTTAATTATTTTCCTTAGATACAAACACACAAAAATAAAATAAAATAAAATTTTCCGAAAATGAGGGCTAGTCCCCTCATAAATCCATCCCTGATGACTAGCAAATAGGCCATGTATGTAGAGCACAAAGATTCTTCAAGAAAACGTCTATATAAATGATAAAGCATTTTCTATGACAGGTATGTCACGTGCTCAAACTGATGTTGTATATTCTTTCACTTATTATTTGACATGTAATAAAAAGTAATATCGAAATTTGATGTGGCCAAATATTAATATTTTAGGCCAAACACAACAAGTTCTCGGTTCCTATATTTACCACATAACAAATAATGAATAGAATGATACACCACGTCAACTTAGCCACGTGACATATCCATTATCATGGTTTTTAAAATCGGACCGGACCGACCGGTTCAACCGGTGACCGGATGGGGTTCCAGTCCGGTCAACCCTCTTAAACCGGCCAATTGAAAAAACCGGGCTATTTTTTGAAAACCAGTGAACCCACCGGTTAAACCGGTCGACCCGGTCACGGGTTGATCGAACCAGTCCGGTTTCAAATTTTTTTTATTTATTATTTTTTCTTTGTTTTTTTTTTATTTTCTTTCTTTTCTTTCTTTCTTTCTTATTTTATATATATATATATATATAAAATATAAGAATATAAGAAAATTTTAATTTGAAACTCTATGTGGGATTCAATCAAATTTATTGGAAGGAAACTTAAAATTTTGATATCCCTCCAAAATTTTTGCTCTTCTTTTAATCAAATTATTTGAATTAAAATCATATGGAAGGAATATTAAATATTTGATTTCTTCTTCCAAAATGAAAATTAATAATATTTTTAAATATATTTATATATTTTTTAATAAAAAAAAGTATTAAGAGAAATATTTAAGATTATTAAAATTTTTAATTTATAATTTTATTACTTATATTTTTATTTAAATATAATTTTAATATATTTATGACGTCACGGTTCGATTCCGGTTCAACCCGACGGTTGAACCGGTGACCCGTCCACCCGATCATTTTTCCGGTTCATTCACCGGTCCGATTTTTAAAACATTGCCCATTATATAAAATACTTCCTCCTATATTAGTTTAGAGTTTATTTGAAAACTTGACTTCTATCTATATTTGAAATTTGCAAAATTTTGGGGAAAAGGATTTCAAAAACATTAGTGAATTGAGGGGCAAATAGAAGCCACACCACCAAGTCACCAAACGAAAATGCTTCATTAGTGTTACATAATGTGCCTTTGAAGTACATAAATATCATCAAAACTGCTTACATTTGAAGCTTAATTATTTTAAAACTTTTACTTTACTCCTGTTAAAAGGCCGTACCCATGTGGGTTCAGTTTGAATGTTGGATTTAATGTAGTTATTTTAATATTTGTAAATTATCTCTTACTAATTGATAAATATAAAAAAAAAACAAAAATAATAATAATAATCCTATTATATAAGTATTATTTGTGTGATGTGAGTGTGAAACAAGTGTGCAAAAACACATTTTATAATTTGTTCAAATAGTGTAATTGACTCTATTTAAAAATGCAATGGATCCATTTAAAATAGAAGACGCCACTATTTGAACCAAGTGTAAAATAGACTCTAATATGCACTCTAATTTTAAATAACACTACAACAAATTAATATTTTAGAGACAAAAGTTTAGGCACAAAATCACCTTTTGGGACAAAATATTTTTGTTATTAAAAGTGTCATTATTGTATTTTTAATAACGAAATTGGACATTTTGTGATGAATTATAATCATTTTGAGACCAAAATTTTAGTCTAAAAATAAATTTTTTTGGAATCAAATTATTTAGTCCTTAAAAGTGCATTTAATAGCGACATTTTTAAAATTTGGTAGCTAATTTTTTTTTAAAAAAAATTTCAGAAAGATGTTATCCTCGCAATGATATATAGGAATTAGCCCCCAAACATTTTTTGTAACAAAATTTTGACTTTTGAGCCAAAAAATTTTAATCACTAAAACCCTTATTTGTTGTAATGTAATTTGTGCTACTATGGTTTCTTGTGAGGTGCATTACATGCTAGTTGGTTCCATAACTTATCTTAGGGATGGCATCTTACTTTGTTGTGATGTTTTAGTGATAGAATAAAAGATAGCTTTCAATTTTAGAATACTTTGACTAACTCGGGAGTCAAAAGTGATATATCAAAAAAGTAATTCTTGCTTACCTTAATGAGATGAGATGGGATATATATATATTTGTCCGTCTTCACTTTCCTACTAGATACCTTGAATTCATATTTCTTAGATGGGAATAGCTTCCTTCAGTTCGTGATTAGAGTAGAACGTGCTATTGGACTTGTGAGGATTTATCATAAGTTTCGTTTCGATAATCCGAACCGTTTCAACATGTAAAACTCGTCGAGTATTATATGTTTATAAAAAATTATATTAATCAGATATCGATAGCTATGTGATCAAATCAGATTTATATAAGCCGTTTATTTTTCACCGTCCATTTTTTTTCATACAAAAATATTTTGATTACATAGCTATTGATATCCGATCAATGTGATTTTTTATAAGCACATAATACTCGACGAGTTCTATACATTCAACAGTTCGGATTATAGAAACGGGACCCGTGGTGAGCTCAATGGACTGGAGGGAAGCCGTTCCCTTCTTAGATAGTGAATTTACTCTATATATTGCAATCAATTTATAATATTCAGAATTTTATCCCAAAAAATAATGTGCATTTTAGATTTAACTTTTGCATTTTAAATGAATCTACACTATTTTTTTATTCTACATATATTACGTAAGTTTACATACATATAATAGTACACTGAAATAGGGCCTGTCAACAGTATGTCAATATGATTTATTTATTTTTTATTTATTCATATTGATATTATAATAAAATTTAATGAATTACAATCATAAAAACGAATATTAAATATAATATATATATATAATTAATATAAAGAAACTTTTAAAGTAGAAGAGAAAAGTCTCAATAAATACACAGAATATGATGTACACATAAATAGGAAGATTCGAACCACTAACTTCTTAGTGAGATGCTGGAATTCTAGATAATCAAACTGGCCTAATCGATTATCCATCTACCAATTATTAGGCATGCAATCTCTAGGTTATAAAAGCATGGTATTAATAATTTGACAACTTATTAAGCCATTGTTATATGGAGTCCCTAATGCATCAAGACACTTCACCAACCACCAAGAAGTTAGTTGGTATGTTTTATTATCATTAATTTGAATATAGATTCTTAATTACTCTTTTTTTATTTTATTCAGGTACAACATAACAATCACATAACTAGCCAATAATTTGATTTTGCTTCCAAGATGGGTATTATCTACGGCTAAAACTTGGGCGACTTTGATCGGCTTGAGAATTTGTCCTAGTCTAAGTCCAAACTTTTGCCTAAATTTCTTGCCCAAGCCCATGATCAAGTTTAATTTAAAGAATTTGGATTAGGCTAAAGTTGTCCAAATTCAAAGACAGACGTGCACACACACCCAAAAAAAAATCAAAAACTACAAACACAAAACAAACCATACAATCATTTAAAAATTAGTTTGAGTTATATATACTAAATAAAATATATTACATTGTAATATTATTTAATCCAAATAGTT